TCAACCATAAAAAAAAAAAAAAAAAAAAAAAAGTTATAATCCTATACCCACAGTAAGGCAAAAAAAAAACAGCAAAGCATGATCCAATTTGCTCCTGCAAGGGAAAATAATTCCTTCCTGATCCTCCAAGAGGCAATCAGATATTCCCTGGATCAACTTTACCTATAAATGTTAGTATCCAGTTATATTATGTGTAATATTAATATTTTTTTTAAAAAGTAAGACTTTTTATCATTTGAGCAGTATTTAACTCTAGATAAAAGTTTGTTGAATTTAGAAACATGATCTGAATTTTCCAATATATTGTATACCAATGGTTTTTCTTTTCGAAAAATGTGTAATATTGCTTTCTACAGTTTCTGTTCCTTGTAATGCTCTTATTTAGAAATATATTGTCCTTGAAAAGTGATGAAATTCAGTTTTGGGTCACACAGCATTGAGGGTTCCTGAGAACTATACTGCATCTAGACTATTAAGGTTATCTTCAAATACTTGTCCTGTGTTCAATTAACATTCCTGATGGACGTTTAATGTTTATGTACTGCATACTGTTCAGATCCAAACTGTTTAGATCAAATGAATAGGAAATAATGATGAGTTCGGTATACTGGAACATTTCTGTGATAAAGTTTAACAACTGTGGTGTTGATAGACTCTTTTGGCACATATAAGATGTGAACTGAGGATATATTTGTTATTTCAAAAAACAAGATGAAAGGATTGGACTATACAACAAAATACTAATCTTATGGCACTGCTTTTCTCTATGAATCCAATACATAAGTGGCTCCATTAAGGCTTGTGTAGAAATTGTTATCTAAATAAATAAAGTCTGCAAATGCCACAAGATTTGACATAAATCATTTTTTAATCATTAAAGTGTAACTCCAGCCAAGACGATTTTGTTTGTTTCAGAATTGAGAAATGTTAGAATCTCTGTCAGGCTTTTATTGCTGTATGTAGGGATGAGGTTTCGCAGCGGCGCACAGGTCTGCACATACGCAGATTGCCTAGGTGCACTAATGTGCAGGCACTAGGACCTGGGCGTCGGCAATTGCACCAATGACGGTGCAGGGCGCACTTTTTAAACTGGCCAGACGGTGACTAGGTTGCCGCAAGGTCTAGTTCCTGTACCCGTGTTCTGAAGTGTGATCCTGCTTGTCCTGATTTGTGTTGACCTTCTCCTGCTCTGACCCCCGGCTCGTCCCTGACTACTCTCCTGCCTGTTGTATATTACTATTGGACCTCCCGTTGCTGAACCTTGGCTCGTGACCCGGCTGCTCTCTGTCTACTGTTTAGTACCTACCTGCCTCCACCGTTACCGACCCGGCTAGTCTGACTACGCTCATCCCTGACTGTCATCCATCCATCCCGCACGGGACCTGGACTTGTCAGCCTCTTCACAGCAGGCTCACCCCCCGGCACGTACCCTCAGCGGGACCCCTCTACCACAGTTGGGTGCACTCAGGGGTTGCGACCTGGTTTCAGTCTTGCACCAAGTCCATCCCCACCATCAGGGGCTCTGGTGAAAAGGCAGACTGGGACTTAGACTCCGCGTCCTGGGGAATCCCGTTCTGTGGATCACTGGAGATTCCACCGGGCGGTGCCTGACAGTCGCTACCACTGGAAATAAGGAACAGCCAATAATGCAGTGCACAGTCTTTATATCTGGACAGATGTGTCACAAAAAACAGTATTTGACAAAATGTATAACCCACTCCTTTCTATAAAATTGTGGTCTCACGGCAGTGATATTGTCATGCGTAGAAACTGTTAGGGAACGCTCTCAATTCTGTGCAGAAGGTAGTACTCTTTAACACCTAAAGGGCTAGTTCACCTTTACCAGCCAACTACCTATGCAGGTAAGGAGTGTATGTAGATAAAAACAGACTGTACAGTTTTTAACCAAAGTTAAATACTGCCCTTGCTATAGGTGTAGTCCATTAAGGTACCTCCTTAAGCCTGGTCAAAAAACACCCAGAGATGGCACCATCCCAGACTGACCATTTGGTAACTCAGGCACTGCCCGAGGGTCAGTAGGGGGCCCCATGAGATGCCCCTGGTACCCTTTTCATAGGCTTTTTTGAGTTTGGGCAAGGTCACAGGGGCCCCATGATCCCCTATTGCCTGGGGGCCCCATGAGTTGTCAGTCTGCCCCTTCACCATACCATCCTGCCTTGTTGCTAGGACGTTGCTAAGATACTCCCAGCTGATTCAAACCACATCACATGCACTCCCTCTCCCCTATTGCAGTATCTCTGAGCTCAGCAATGCTTCGATGGAGGAGCAAGTGGACCACACATATGTGGGGGTTTGAGATCTCACTCTTGTGTTGGTGATGGTGAGCAGTAATGTCCAGAAATGTCTTAGCAGTATTGTAACAACAAAGCAGGATGTGATGACGCCATCTCAGGGAGTTTTTAGTGGGACTTTGGGAGGTTTGTAATTGGCCTAAAACTAAAGCAAGGGCATTATCCAACTTTTTGTCCAGCTGGTTAGTTTGCTTTCATCTACAGGCACCCCTTACCTGAATAACTAATTTTTGATTAAGGTGAACTAACCCTTTAATCATTTATTTTTTTAATTTTGGCATTGGCAAATGTCCCACCTGCCTTTTGCTTGGTTAGCCATGCATTTTGCTTGGCAATATCTTGCCTATTAGCCCTACAAATGGCCAGAATCCAGTAAAATCACAGACTTTTTTGAGGTTCACCGCAAGGTTTGTAAAATACAAACTTGAAGCAAGATTTCCAAAGCTATTTGCAAACCGAACCCAGGCAGATTCGCTCATCCCTAGCTTTATAGATATTTTCCACTTGTCACAAAGACTACTAACACAGAGAAAGGAAGTGAGAGTGAATCTCCCCAAAAGGAAAAAAGGTCAACAATAAGAACTTAATGGAGGTGGCAACCATTGTTCACGCTTGTAAAGTTTTTTTATTGCTGCTTGGTTCCCATTGGAGAGATTTTCTATTCATTTTAAATCCAGTTACACACCCAGTTGCTCCCTTTGTGTGAAATCCCTGATGTTCCTGCAAGTCATTTTGCTTTCTTATTAAAAACTACCACACGAGGCATGAGATCACACTAGGCAGGAAAGCACAGCGTGGTCAGTTCACCAGTTATGCTATGCTCAGTCCTCTATTGATTATACTTGTCCTTACATGCTCCCCTCCCCCGCACAGCTATTCAATGGTAAGATAAGTGTCCTGTTTTTTCTCTATCCTCAGCTCTCTGAGCTCTTTATGCAGCTGAGAACAGAGGGTATGTGATCATGTATAAAAAAGGGAAAAAAAGTATTTATAATCATTTGTTTTATATTAAAAATTATAAACACAAATGTTTTGCCTTTCATTTCTATTTAACCCCTTAGTGACTAAGTGTAAAACAAATCCTAATGCCTAAACACAATTTTACAATTTTGACATGTGTTAGTAAAACCGTACATATCACCCCGACTATACAAATTGGGCTTTCTTTTGGAAACAGATATCTGTTTTTTTTTTTATATCAAGGGAAACCTGGCCCAAAATAGTAAAAAAAAAATATTTTTGAAAAAATGTAACTGTATATTCCTTGCTACTACCATAACCTACCATCAAAGGATAACCCAAAATAAATTCTCCTGCTCCTGACAATCGCAGCGATACCTCATATGTATATGTTATTTGTTGTTTGTACCCATAGTAAAGCTCTGAAACAAAAATTAGTATTTTGCTTTTTTTTATCCTACCTAAAACACACTGACACTAAAACTAACTGGCACTGATACTACTTTTAAAACTGCTCTTTTAAAAAAAAAATCCTGCCCAAAATGTACTGACTGTGACCTTTGACCCTTGCCTCTGACCTTTACTTGACCCTATTACTAACCCTGGCACTGACCTAGATCTAACATTGATCTAGGCATTGTTTCTTTATTTTTCCCTTTTTAAAATGTTTTATGTATTTATTTCTACACGGTTTTGATAACATTTTATGTTTTGTTTAGAGAAACAATGTTACTCTGCCCCATTCAGAGAGAAAAAAAAACACAGGGCGGGCTGAACAGTGACTGATCACTGTGATAGCCAGTTAGAGGCTATCACAGCAATCAGGTGACCCGGAACTGGGAGTCCCCGGTCCCTATCATTAGTTTGGGGCCCTAACATCCCAGTGACAGCCCGGTAACTGTGCTGGAACGCACTGTGTGGTCCCAGAGAAAAAAGCCCAGTTCTGGGCGCATACATGTGTACAGCATGAAGGGGTAAACTAAATGGTTGTTTTACAAGGTGAGGGATTACATATACTTTAATCATAGCATAATATAAAAGAAAGACTGTTGGACCTACAGTATGTCTGTATAAACAGCATGCTAATATACTTTTTTCACAGGACACTGAATTCATTTAGTTTTAAAGTGGTTCTAAAGGCAGAAGGTTTTTATACCTTCATGCATTCTATGCATGAAGGCAAAAAGCCTGTGTGCATCAGCCCCCTCTTGATCCAGCGATGTGCAAGAGAACCTTGGCTGTCCCAGGATTCCCTCTCCTCATTGACTGAGACAGCAGCGGGACCCGTTTGCTCCTACTGCTGTCAATCACATTCAGTGAGCCAATGAGGAGAGATCAGGGGCAGGGGCCGGGCCAAGCAGTGGCTCTTTGTGTCTTATGGATCTATAGAGTGGGACTCAGGAGCGAGCACGCACCAGTGCCCCACAGCAAGCGTCTTGCTATTGGGGCAATGGTAAAGGGGGAGGAGCCAGAAGTGCTGGTGTGGACCCAAGAAGAGGAGGATCAGTGCTGCTCTGTGCAAAACCACTGCACAGAGCATGTAAGTATGACATATTTCTTTAACCACCTCCCGCCCGCCATATAGTAATATGACGGACGCAAGGTGGTTCTCTCGTTCTGGGAGGACATCATATGACGTCCTCCCGTTCTCAACACGCATGCGCGGCTCAGGGATCACCGATAATGGAAAGAGCCGAAGATGTCTGCTCGGTCATGTGATCAGCTGTGTCCAATCACAGCTGATCACATGTAAACAGGGAAATGTCAGTTATCAGCATTTCTCTCCTCTCGAGCTGTCATGCTGACAGCTCGAGAGGAGAGGAGAGCCGGTAATCAGCTTTCCGCGGAGGGGACATGTACACTGATCATCAGAGCACTAATGATCAGTGTGCCCTGATGATCAGTGTAGCCCCAGCAGTGCCACCTCTCAGTGTCCATCAGTGCCTTGAGTCAGTGCTCATCAGTGCCTCGTGCCAGTGCCCATCAGTGTCACATCAATGCCACATATCAGTGCCTACCAGTGCACATCAATGCCACATATCAGTGCCCATCTGAGCTGCCTTTCAGTGTCACCCATCAGTACCAGTCAGTGCCATCTATCAATGCCAATCAGTGCCACCTATCAGTGCTGCCTATCAGTGCCAGTCAGTGCCGCCTATCAGTGCGCATCAGTGCCGCCTATCAGTGCACATCAGTGCCGCCTATCAGTGTCTGTCAGTGCCGCCTAACAGTGCCAGTCAGTGCCGCCTATCAGTGCCATATATCAGTGCCATGTATCAGTGCTGCCTTTCAGTGCTCATCAGTGATGCCTGTCAATGCCCATCAGTGCCACCTACCAGTGCCACCTATCAGTGTCCATCAGTGCAGCCTATCAGTGCCCATCAGTGCAGCCTTATTAGCGCACATCAGTGAAGGAGAAAAATCACTTATTTACAAAATTTTATAACAAAAACTAAGAAAAAAAATGTATTTTTTTCAAAATTTTCAGTGGTTTTTGGTTTGTTTAAGAAAAAATAAAAAACCCAGAGGTGATTAAATACCACCAAAATAAAACTCTATCTGTCTCAAAAAAATGATAAAAATTTCATATGGGTACAGTGTTCCATGACCGCGCAATTGTCACTCAAAGTGCGACAGCGCTGAAAGCTGGAAACTGGCATGGGCAGGAAGGGGGTATAAGTGCCCTGTAGGCATGTGGTTAAAAAAAAAAAACAACCTTTGGTGCCACTTTAAGCATTATTTATTACAATTATTTGAATCCTGTGAAAACAATGCCTAATATCTAACTGGAAAGTGGTAAAAAAAAAAATATAATCCAACCTGATCTGGTATTTTGATATTTTATTTACTAAAAAGAGGCTGGAAATGACATTTATGTTCTTAATGAGTTCCAAAATGAAGAGAAGCACACAAACTAAAATTGAATATCCTTCAACATGAATTTTATTATAGCACAACTGTTAACTGCTTGTTTGCCTCGGTCCTCCATTTGTTTGAATAATGTTGCTGATTTCCAAAGTCATCCAGCCTGAAAGTCCTCGTGAACATTTGCTAAAAGGTAGCAGTTTCTGGTAAATAAGACCAGTCACCTCTGCGCTCTCCCCTTCAGCAGGGCAACTGGTCTTGTTACCACCCCCTTTAGTTCTTAGCTTTTCCTTAGGCCTTAGGCTGTCTATCACCCCAGTTTTTCCCCACCCAGAATCCTCCTCCAGGTGGCCAGAGATCACAGGAGACTAGTCAAAAAACTATGACCTCACATGGAATTAAATTTCAATTTTATAGTGACAGGAGTTCAGTATGTTAGAAGCTAATGTGTGTTGTTGCTGTGCTTAAGCAGAGTTAGTTTGAGCAGACAGATGATCCTGGAGTTCAGCTTTAATATTTCTTTAATTAATGCACATGAGTAGAAGCAAAATACATTGTTTTCATGACTGAAGTGTTACATCTACTCACTGTTAAACAATTTGTGAGTTTTAATTCTTACTCTGTATTTTAGGACTATTCAGTCATCCTTAATCCAAGTAACCTCAAAGTATGTTTATTTTGCAATTTTCGACTTTGCTTTATATTTCTAGACTGACTGACATATTGTAATATAGGGAAAAATTAAAACTGTCTCTAGACCCCTTGTCCAACAAATTAAACATAAAGAACATTTTGTTGGAGCATACAATTCTAGAACAATAGGCTCATTTAAAAAGAGTCCTGGAAACTACCCAAACCAAAATGGCAGAGACCAGAGAGGTTAAGCAAAGTGCAGAGTCAACCCTCAGAAGCCTTAATTAAAGTACCAACATCACCACATTAAAAACATGTAAATGTGTTACACATTTTTTTTATTGGACATATTTCTAGAAGTATCAAAAGACTGTTGGCTCCAATTACATAGTTATACAATATTAACATTAGAAAAATATGTCTGACAGTCAGCCTTTATTATTATCTATTGTACATATCTGTCTGTCGTGTGTCATACATATGCATTGTTAGTCTTTCAGTCTGTCTGTCTCATACCAAAGCAAAAAGTCCACTTTCTGCAAATGAAATGTAAATATAGCCATTGCCATTTACTATTTTTTATGTATAAATTGCCTTAAGTAAAGCTACTTATTGTGCAAAAGTTTTAAGCAGGTGTGAAAAAGCTGTAAAGTAAGATTGCTTTCGGTAGTCAGAATATGCTTCACTACTGTGAATGCAACTGTGAGGGCTTTCTCCAAGTTCTAGCAATAACTTTCTCCAAGCCCTAACTATGAAAAGGTACTGTATGTAGCCAACTTCTGTTGGCGGGATAAAAAGACCTGGGAGCAGTGAAGAAGTACATTACAAGCGTCCCTGCGAAAGTGTAAATGAAAAAGTGTTGAATGGAGGCCGTAGACCCTTGACCAAAAGCCCACTAGGCAGAGTGCAGAACCCCCAGATATGGATCTCATCTCCGCGTTAACCACAGCCCCTGAAACATCTATCACTATACGACGGGTTTGAGTGAGCTATGCAGGCTGGGACCTAGTGCTAATGGAGGAAGACCTTGTAGGCCACCTCCATGGTTACGTGTTAAAAGAACATTTGGCTACGGAGGACCAGGCCTTGCGCCAATCCTCTAAGTCTATGGAGGCTGTTATATCTTGTTCCCATTTAGAGATGTATAGATTGGAGTGAGATGAGCCCCCTGCAGTTAAGGAAAGGTAGATGGAGGAGATAGTGCTTGGGCTCCAGGTGAATGGAGGCAGATGTGTTCGAAGGCCATTTTCTGAAACAGGAAAGAAGAATTACGATGGACAGGGAAATCCAGTGACGGAGTTGCAGATAGCCATATGATACTGCAGGGGGCATGTCGAGAGTCTCGCAAAAGCCTAGGGTTAGTCCAGCCCAGGTGGGAAAAGAGGGTTGTTTAGGAGAGGGAGGGGCAGGAGGAAGGAGGACATCAAGTTGCCCAAATAGAGGACTGAGTCCCAGAGGCACAAACTATGGGCCATAAGAGGGCTAAGGGAGGGTAGGTGTTAGGAGGGGAAAGCACAGAAGGGCTGAGACCGGAACAGGGGTGCAATTAGGGATTTCCAGAAGTGCACATAAGGGTAATCCAAAGCTGTATGTAGCATTGCAATCTGCAAAACTTGTGCAGCCATGCAATATTTGGACACATTCAGAACTTCAAGTCCACCTCTCAGCCTGTGAGTAAAAAGGGTAGCATGAACCACTCTGGGTCACTAGTGGGCCCAAAAAGTCAAAATTTTATTCTGAAGGGACTCGGTAGGGTCCAAAAGCAGTACAAGATCTTGAGAAGCACAGTCATCTTAACCGCATTGATGCATGACAGTGAGGGAAAGTGCTAGGAGTCCATAAGGGTGGTGATAGTGTAAAGGAGGGGATAGTAGTTAGTAGCAAAGAGAGAAGAATAAGAGGGGGTCAGGTGGACACCTAGGTAGTCCAGGGATGAGCTTGCCCAGTGGTACAGAAAGGATGCCTGGATATGAGACCAAAGAGTCCTGGAGGGAAACGTTCAGGGCAGTTGTTTTATGGGGATTTATATGGGGGCCGAAGATGGGCGCAAAGAGAGCCAACAGAATATGCAGATTAGGAAGCATAGTGATGGGGTTGGAGAGGGTCAGGAGAGCATAGTCTGTGAATAGATTTACTTTATAGGACTCACTGGCATACAAGATCTCAAGATGTGCTGCTCAAGATCCTTTGAAGAAGCACAAAGAAACTGAGGACCGTAGACGCAGTGGTCAGGCAAGGAAACTTGAAAAACACATCATGCTTACTTCCCTTCAACACTGATAGATGTCCAGGAGTGCCATCAGCACAGAACTGGCGGAAACCAGTGGAACCCAGGTACACCCATCTACTGTCTGGAGAAGTCTGTCCAGAAGTGGTCTTCATGGAAGAACTGGGGCCAAAAAGCCATACCTCCAACATGGAAAGAAGACTATAGGGCTCAACTATGCACAAAAACATAGGAACTTGGGTGCAGAAAATGGCAGCGCTTTGGCTGATGAGTCAAAATTTGAAATATTTTGCTGTAGTAGGAGGCAGTCCAAAGGGCTGGAAAGCAGTTCATTAGTGAGTGTCTGCAGGCAACAGTGAATTATGGTTGAGGTTCCTTGCAAGTTTGGGACTGTATTTCTGCAACTGGAGTTGGAGATTTGATCAGGATTAATGGTGTCCTCAATGCTTAGAAATACAGGCAGATACTTACCCATAATGCTATACCATCAGGGAGACATGTGATTGGCCCCAAATGTTTTCTGCAGCAGGACAACGACCCTTTCTTCATTGTAAAGAAGAACAATGAGTCCTTGAAGTGATTATTTGGCCCCTGCAAAGCCCTGATCTCAACATCTTCCAGTCAGTCTGTGATTAGATGAATCAGCAGAAGGATTTGAGGCAGCCTACATTCCTGTGATTAGTTCTCCAAGATGTTTGAAACAACTTACCTGCCGAGTTCCTTCAAAAAGTGTGTACCTTAAAGAATTGATGCTGTTTTGAAGACAAAGGGTAGTCACACCAAAAATTGATTTGATTTGGATTCCTCTTCTGTTCAATTCTGTTTACTTTGCATTTTGTTAAGTGATAAAAAATAAACTATTAACGCATCTATGTAGCATTTTTTCACATCTGCCTAAAACATTTGTAAAGTAAGTAGTTTATTACAGACTGAATTCATTTTTGTATTAAACCATATTTTAAGTGTACCTGTAGTAAAGTGTAAGAGCCATAGAATGCTCTTTAATGTTAGCATTAACTTTATCATAGAAGGCAGTATTATGGCCTGTACCTTGCTAACTAGTGATCGATATGAGGGCAAAATGAATAAAATATTATAAGATATGTAGCACTACCCCCTTAGGAGTTGCTGAAGATTTGGGTCCCCCTATAGTCCTGCACAGCCAGGCAACACACCTTTTTCTTCAGATTTGCATCTAGGAGACAGCAACCAGTCACTAAGTTTTTTTTTAAAGTTTTATTAGAGATAATAAACTTGGATGGGGTAAGGGGTGTGCAGGATGCCCAATGTAAATGAGGACAAAGTTCCTGAAACGATTTACTGCAGAGCAAAAAATCCTGTTCTGGAGAGCTAGTTAGCCTCTCCTGTTGTACCACCCCAGATTCTCCTGTAGCGGCTGCCACCTCCACCCGCCCTCTCTTCATTC